GGTTGAGAAACAGTACTCTAGGATTACAGTACATTTGTATTATCCCAAGAGAAAGTTGGATGAATAATTTTGGAGTTCAAATGCTTTTCTTTACTGTACAGTGGAGAAGATAACGGTTGCAAAGTCTGCAGCATTTTAAAATCATCAGTCTAACTGAAGATAGTTAATATTGTCTTCCACAATAGATTTCTATGGTCAAATTGTGTAGATGTGATGATTTCCTTAATGTAATGTGTATTTCACCAATACATAGCTTTCATTACATTGCCATCTAGTGGACATACAGGAAATTGCATAAACGTTTGATACTACAGGTAGTCCTTGACTTACGACCAAAATTTCTGTTCCTAAGTGAGACATTTGTTAAGTGAATTTTGCCCCATTTTACTACCTTCCTTGCCATACTTGTGAAACGAATGATTGCAGTTGTTAAGGTAGCAACACGGTTAAGTGAAGCTGGTGTCAGAAGGTCCCAAAATGTGATCACATGACCCTGGGACACCGCAGCTGTCATAAATATGGATCAGTTGCTAAGCATCTGAAATTTGATCACATGACTGTAGGGATGCTGCAATGGTTGTAAATGTGAAAAACGGTCATACGACACTTTTTTCAGTGTCGCAACTTTGGTCACGAAATGAACTGTTGTAAGTTGAGGATTACCTATCCTATTGCCCACTGCCAGGCCTTTACACACATGCTTTAGCTTCTTCCCCTTTCTTCCCCTTTCTATTTGTTTACTGGTAATAACAGATAATGAAGAGTGAGGGCAGTGTTTTAACAGTTTTCCTAAGCCTATTTCTAATTAGTAGTCTATTTCTAATTCCCTGCCCATTCTTGGGCCTCTTAGTGGATTATAGAAGGAACAGATCAGATATCCAGCCCTTGCTTATCAATGGAGACTGAGTGGAGCAAGTGGCCAGTTTTAAGTTTCTGGGTGTTACCATGAAGCAGGACCTGACCTGGGGTGCTCACTTTGCAGCCCTGGTCAAAGGGCCCAGCAGAGATTATACTATCTGAGACTTTTCAGAAAACAATAGCTGAATGAAAATCTGCTGCACCACAGAGAGTATTTTAACATACTGCACCTCTGTATGGTTTGCCAATTGCACAGTGGCAGATAGGAAAGTACTCCAGAGGGTTAACGTCATTGCCCAGAAGATCATTGGTTGCCCTCTCCCCTCTTTGGAAGAGCTTTATAGCTCCCACTGCCTTAAGAAAGTTCAAAACATTCTCAAAGATCCATCTCATCCTGGGAACCCTTTTTTTGAACTATTACCATCTGGCAGACGGTACAGAATAATAAAAACAAGCACAAATAGGCTGAAAAACAGCTTCTATTACAGGGCAGCAGCTCTTTTGAATTCTGCTGTATAGTGCGGTATTTGTGCGGTGTTGCAGGTTTTCGATTTGATGTGTGGAGGGTGAAGGATGTGTGTTTGTGTTTATTTTCATGGTCATGATGTGCACTGAAGATGGTGTTTGATTTCATTGTATGAGGTGCCATGACAATAAAGTAAAGTAAACTAAACTTTAGAAAGGTCATCAGAGGAGTAACCCTAAAGTGGATCTGGTGTGTTGGGGGGGGGGGGTCAACTGGCTAGCCCCCATTTTGGATTGATTGTGTCTGGCTGACAATCATCTTGAAGTCCCCATAGATTCTGAGAAGCCTCCAAAATGAATCAACCCATTGCTCTAGGCCCATGATGGCGAACCTATGGCACGCAGAGTCATCTCTGCCAGCACACGAGCTGTTGCCCCAGATCAGGTCCACTGCACTGCACCATCAGCCAGCTGATTGTCGGGTATCTGCCGTGCATGAGGGGGGCGGGGGGCACAGGGCACGTGGAGAGACTCGTGTGCATGCGCAGAGGCATGCAGCATGCATGGGGGTCAAACATGCATACGCAGGGGTGGGGGGCACACACGCACATTGCGTTATGCGTACAGGCATGCATGTGTGTGTGTGTGTGTGTGTATGCGCACTTTAAGCACGCGATGACGAAAAGGTTTAGCCATCAATGTTCTAGGCAATGTCAATATCATATTGACATCTAAGCCCAAACTGCTTACATTCTAGTTTAAAGACAATACCAATCCTATTACAATAGTTCGCTTAGTGACCGTTCAAAGTTACAACAGCACTGAAAAAGTGACTTATGACCATTTTTCACACTTATGAGCATTGCAGCATCCCCGTGGTCCTGTGATTTACATTTGAGGGCTTGGCAACTGGCTCATATTTATGACGGTTGCAGTATACTTGGGCCATGTGGTCCCCTTTTGCGACCTTCTGACAAGCAAAGTCAGTGGGGAAACCATCGTGTAACTCAGGGATCTCCAACCTTGGCGACTTGAAGCCTGGTGGACTTCAACTCCCAGAATTCCCAGAGTTGAAGTCCTCCAGGCTTCAAGTCGCCAAGGTTGGAGACCCCTGGACTGTAACTCATTTAACAATTGCAGTGATTCACTTAACAAATGTGGCGAGAAAAGTTGTAAAGTGGGGCAAAACTCACTTAACAAATTTCTCACTTAACAACATAAATTTTGGGCTCAATTGTGGTCATAAGTTCAGGACTACCTGTCTGTCAAGCATGGTTTAGGTGACTGAAGGGTTTAAAACACTTCTGGAGTCTTTTAAATGAGTTCTGTAGGTTTAAGAAACGTTCGGGTGAGGCCTACAGGTGATTACTTAATCATATCTCTGATCCATTGTGCTGCAGCTCACAAGTATGTTCCTCGTGCTGTCCTGGTAGACTTGGAGCCTGGAACAATGGACAGTGTGCGGTCCAGCAAAATAGGTCCACTCTTTCGGCCCGATAATTTCATTCATGGTATGTATATGACGTTACTTATCAAACTAATTTAACAAATTGATATTCTCAGAAACAACGCAGCTGACATTAATCCCTTTGATTCACTAAGGTATCAGTATCTTTAATCACAGCTTCAGAACACCTAACGGTCTAATTTTTATGAGGGGAAACTGAATTCTGTTTTTTATGCTTTATAGAGTGAAAGCTTAAAACAGATCACAGGAGACTTCCCTAAAATGTTCAAAGAAAGATGAAGCCAGATCATTAATCTTAAAAGGAATGTTTCCTCAAGTATCTTTCCCTGCCTCTGTAACATTTGTTACAAGATAAGATAACTTTTATTGTCATTTTTTTTCTGTGAAAAAAATGACACACATTAAAAAACAAAATTCTGATACCCGCTCTCAAAAGAAAATAAAAGTCCACCCAAGCTAATAACACTATTTGGGACAAAACGCTTTAACCAAGTTTCTGCTGCAATGACGACACATCAGTTTCTCACCGGCCGGTTTGTTATTAAATCTGGCTTTCATGTAATCCATTTTAGGTTCTAAGGGGCACATTAGCAAACAAAATAGATGGTAGCAACACTCCATATGGAGACTTCAGCCTGGTGGTTAGTCCTCCACATTTGCCTTGTTTCCTCTTTCGATCACACTGTTTCTTTCTCAGCAACGGAGTGCTGCAAAAGCTGCTGCTCCCTGCTGTCTCTGCCACCCAAAATGCCAAGCACTTTTAGAGATTGCAGCTGATCTCACACCCTCTTGCTCAACTCACCAACATTTCTGCTGATGACACCCTTCAACTGAAGCAGTCCGAAGCAATGCAGACTTTCCAGAAAAAGCTTTATCAGCAGTTCCTCTCTTGCTATATATATCACTAAAACCAATTAGACTGACGGTCATATAACAGTTTGGTAGTACAATTCCACTTTTTTGTCACAATTCCCAAAGAATGATTCAAATCAGATGTCACTTTCAACTCCAAACCCCCAACACTCTTGAGAGCCAAAGCAGCTGCAGCCAAGCAAGGTGCCACCATTTTAGAATTAACTCATCCTACATGGAGATAGAGGCTAGCCGCCTTAGCCGTTCTATAATTAATTATAATTTTATGTTAGCTGCAGGATCTGGATATGGAGGTTGAAAATGTTTTTGTAAGCAAATAATTAAAGATGACAGTTTTTTTTTAAAAAAAAATCCCTAGAGATGAAACTGGAAATTCTACAAAAAAAACAAAAAAACCCTCATACATGTAACAGTTCCATAATTGTTATCAATCTGCTTAAAATGTTTAAGTCAAACCGACATCGGCTATTTTTCTCAAATACGTATATCAGTTTTGATATAAAATGTTCTTCCCTAAATATGAGCTGTGGTCGTGCAGTGGTTAGACGGCAGTACTGCAACCTACTTCTGCTGACTGCTGGCTGACTGCAATTTGGCAGTTCAAATCTCACCAGGCTCAAGGTTGACTCAGCCTTCCATCCTTTCAAGGTCGGTAAAATGAGGACCCAGATTGTTGGGGGCAATATGCTGACTCTGTAAACCGTTTGGAAAGGGCTGTAAAGCATTGTGAAGTGGTATATAAGTCTAAGTGCTATTGCTATTGCTAAATGTCAACGGGTATTTTCATCCACCTGTTAATAACTTACTAGCATTTAGGAAGAGTGGCTGAGGTCCTGCCTTGTTTTAGAGATAAACTTTTTGCATTTGGGTAGAATAATTAACTTTTCAAACAAACTGCTAATTATTCAATTGACATTTAGCCAGCTTTCTTTATAACGATGTATATTTACAGGAAATTCAGGTGCTGGTAACAATTGGGCAAAGGGTCATTATACCGAAGGGGCCGAATTGATTGAAAACGTGATGGACATCGTGAGGAATGAATCTGAAGGATGCGACTGCCTCCAGGGCTTCCAGCTCGTCCATTCTCTCGGAGGTGGCACAGGATCTGGAATGGGCACACTTCTGATTAACAAGATCAAAGAAGAATATCCTGATAGGATCATGAACACTTTCAGCGTAGTGCCTTCACCCAAAGTTTCGGACACTGTGGTTGAACCGTACAATGCCATCTTATCGATCCACCAGCTGATAGAAAACACAGATGAAACCTTCTGCATTGACAATGAAGCTCTGTATGACATCTGCTTTAGGACACTGAAGCTCCCCACACCAAGCTATGGAGATCTAAACCACTTGGTGTCCCTCACCATGAGTGGCGTCACGACCTCACTTCGCTTCCCTGGCCAACTCAATGCAGATTTGAGAAAGTTGGCAGTCAACATGGTGCCTTTCCCCAGACTTCACTTCTTTATGCCAGGATTTGCTCCACTGACAGCTCGGGGCAGTCAACAATACCGAGCTTTGTCAGTCCCAGAACTTACACAACAGATGTTCGATGCTCGGAATATGATGGCAGCTTGCGATCCACGCTTCGGGCGGTATCTGACGGTGGCCTGCATCTTTAGAGGCCACATGTCTACGAGGGAAGTGGATGAGCAGATGTTGGCTGTGCAGACTAAAAATAGCAGTCACTTTGTGGAATGGATCCCCAACAACGTTAAAGTGGCTGTTTGTGATATTCCTCCTCGTGGGCTAAAAATGTCTGCCACCTTCATAGGCAATAACACGGCCATTCAGCAGCTCTTCAGTCGCATCTCTGATCAATTCTCAGCAATGTTCAGAAGAAAAGCATTTCTCCACTGGTATACTGGTGAAGGGATGGATGAAATGGAATTTTCTGAGGCAGAAGGCAACACAAACGACTTGGTTTCCGAATACCAGCAGTATCAGGATGCGAAAGCTGATGTAGAAGAATATGAGGAAGTGGAGGAGGAAGTCAGGGAAGAAGAAAAGGAAGCAGCTTAAACGGAAAAGGCAATGACTGACTTTTGGTCTTTAAAAATAAAAATATTTTTAAAATAATAAAAATAAAAAATAATATATATTTTAATAGTAAAAATATATTAATAAAAACTTTATTAATATAATATGCCGATTGTTACCAAAAAGGATCTGAAATCAAATGCAGGAACAACCATTACTACGCCTTAAGCCAAGTTATATCTAACTTTTTTAAAAATTTAAATGCATTGCAGAACTAAGTAATCCAATGTTTGATTTAAGAGCTTCACTTTAGTGTTTGATTTAAGAGCTTCACTTTAGGCCAGGGATGTCAAACTCGCGGCCCACTGGCCAGATGCGTCACATACTGGACACGCCCACCCCCAGTTTAGTGAAAGGGAGAAAAGTTGTGATATGCCATGTGATGTGTCATCACGAGTTTGACACCCCTGCCTTAGGCAATAAGAATTTCCTCTGAATCAGGGCCTTAATTTCAAACGAAGAAGCAAAGCTAGGCATATGACATGCTAAATGAAGAAGGCAGAAAATGTAATTGGTCAGCTTTTAGATTTTGCTGTATCTCTCTAGAACAGTGATGGATAACCTTTTTGTTGAGTGCCAAAAGTGTGCACATGCGCAAATGTGTGCATGTGCCTGCATCCATAATGCAATGCATGTGACCCCCCCCACGCTCCCACGCCCCCCTGCACATGCGCACGCATCTCCTGCATGCGCCCTGCCCCCACATGCATGCATGGTAGATACCCAAAAATCGGCTGGCGGGAGGTGCACATGCATGCGCAGTGGAACTGAGCTGGGGCGACAGCTCATGTGCCCACAGAGATGGCTCTGCATGCCACTTCCAGCATGCGTACCATAGGTTTGCCATCACAGCTCTAGGACAACATTTCTAAACTTGGTGACTTTAAAATATGTGGATTTCAATTCCCAGAATTCCCCGGCCAGCGTACACAACTTAAAGTTGCCAAGGTAGAGAGCTACACTGACTTAGAACCTTGTACTTGAATGTGCCAGCCAGCTTATTTAGTTTATTATGGGGAAGGACCACTACGATTCCTATTTGCGTTTCACTCTTCTAGTATATTTAAGCTTCTGCAGATTTAAGATGAGCAGCCTAATAAATATAATCTCTAACATAAACTGTTAACAAGAGATTAAAAATTATTACCCCTTAAATCATTTAGCTGACCTGCATTTTATGTAGACTTTTCAACCTATTAATTGGACAGACATTCCTTTCACTGGATCATCTCTCCCACATAAGGCAAGAAAATAAGATGGTGCAGGATGAAATTGAATGGTCCAAAGTTCCATCAGCTAAACATTCTGGAAAGGGTTCAACAGTCTTTACCCTTACCTACAAACATGTCAATTGCCTTTCAATACAGAGGTTTTATTTCACCATGATAGTTAAAAACTATTGATAGATCTTGTTCTTATTAATTTATCCAATCATTTCAGGAGTGTAAAAATGGTGGATTATGTTAATTTTGAATCAGTTAATGGAACATATTGGGTGGCACGGTGGCTCAGTGGTTAAGATACTGGGCTTGTTGGTTGGAAAGCAGGCAGCCCAGGTTTAAGAGCTGAGTTCCCATGTGACGGGGTGAGCTCCCATCCTCACTCCAGATCCTGCCAACTTAGCAGTTCGAAAGCATGCAAATGCAAGTAGATAAATAGGTACCCCATTCAGTGGGAAGGTAACAGCACTCCGTAACATCATGCTGGTCACGTGACTGCGAAATGTCTTTGGACAGCGCGAGCTCAATGGCCTTGAAACGGAGATGAGCTTTGCCTTCTTATGGCAATGACTAGCAGAATAAAATCCGCAGGGACTCCTTCATCTTTTTTAATGTAACTCCTTACTGGTAATCCTCAATTTATGGCTATTCATTTAGGGACTAAAGTTATGGCAGCATTGAAAAAAGTGACTTATGATTGGTTCTTGCACTTAATGATTGTCAAAGTTCCCTGCAGTCATGTGATCAATGGTGGATTCTCTTATCAACCATGGTGATTTGCTTAATGGCAGCAAAAAGGTTGTAAAATTGGATGCATCTCATTTACCAATTATCTCATTTAGCAATGGAAATTTCAATGCCAACTGTGGTTGTAAATGCACTTATCTGTATGTATTATGGGAATACTTTTTGTGTTTTGAATGTACTGTAAATTATAGTTCATTGTAACTAACTCCCAAATATCAACACAGAATTAAGATGACTACCTAACACTACCAAAGTCATTGCTAAGAACTTCAGTATGGAGAGAAGGGCCAGCGTTGATCCTTTAAATTACCTATTTTATACCGATTCGCTTGCAAAATTCACTAAACCAAATTTGCTTTGAGAATTTAATTGTAATTAAAAGATTAAATACAGCCATTTAGAATAAATACATTCTGGGAAAGAGGAAGTACTACTTAATGTATCAGAACATGTTTTATGTAAAGTATGCAGGTGTATATATGGAATTATGCTTTATATTAGTATATATATGTATAAACACACATATGCATGTGCTAGTGTGTACTAGGTATGTATAAAAATGTGAGTTTTCAGTGATTTGAGCAAAAGCCCCGAATTGTATATATTTTCTTATGAAAATGTGATAGCATTATTTACAAGATTATTAGCTATAGGATTTGTATATATATTTTGTACCAGGCTACAAAATATTAACTCTAGTCCCACTTTAGCCATAAAAGCTGGCTGGGTGACTTTGAGCTAGTCACTCTATCTTAGCCCAATCCACCTCACAGGGTTGTTGCTGTGGGGAAAATAGGAGGAAGGAGTGTCTGGTATGTTCACCGCCTTGAATTACTTATAAAAATAACAAAACAGGATAAAAGAAATCAAAACAAAATTTCATTTATAGGACAGAAAATGTATTATATAATAAATCTATTGGCCTTTAAGTTGCTATAGGACTAGTAGTTTTTCTACTAAAGACTTTTCAAGGGAACTTTCTTGTAATTGCTTGTAGAAATAAGTTTGCATTTATCAACTTGATGTTAAGATGTTCTAAATGACATGCTGGTAGCAGAGGTTGGGAATTAACACACCTCAAAAGGTACCAACTATGGCAAGCTAGAGGCTCAAACAAAAAACTGGAGAGTGGATCAGAGAGGTCATCTGGTTTAGTTTTTCCCCCCTATGTAGTATTCAATACTTTAAACCAGGGGTCTTCAAACTTGACAGCTCTAAGACTTGTGGACTTCAACTCCCAGAATTCCTCCTCCAGTCGTTAGCTTAGGAATTCTGGGAGTTGAAGTCCACAAGTCTTAAACTTGCCCAAATTTGAAGACCCTTGCTTTAAACAGTAGCATTATGTAAAACTTTGCACTAAACCAGCCCCCCCCACCCCAACAGACAAGTCAGAGGCTGCCAGCTACAGTATTAATATACATTTCTTTTTATCTTGTACTTTTGTTTGTAGCGTGTTGTGCAGATTTATCTTGAATGTTTATACAAAATATGAGAATATGAGAATCTCCATAGACATACATAATATTTATTTTCCTATGGTAGAAAACTAATTTTGCTAGCAGAAAAATGGAGAAATACTTCTCTTAGTTGCCATTTATTTTACTCGCATCATTCTAATTTTATATAAGCTACTGTTGCAATGCAAGTATTATACAAAATCCAATAAAATGAGATTAAACAGAATTTGAATCCATTTCTATGAATTAAAACACGTCTTGCGGTTTACAATGTTAGTTTGTATGAATTAAAAATTTTTCACCATTCCTCAAAGGTCTCAGAAAAGGTTATCACTATAGAAGTGCAAACATTCCCATTTTCCCTTCTTTTTAAGTCCTCAACCAATCTGTAAAAGATAATCACCTTAATGACTGGCACTGTGTTACTTTCTTCGAATGCTCCTTATGTGGTTGTGGTTGAAATGTTCAATTTTTGTTTCGTCAATCCAAGCCATTTTTCCTCAAAACGTTTCAGATTTATCAACATTTTCTTTTGCATAATTTAGTTGCAGAATTTGGGAGGAAACAAGACAAAAATTCTCTGTCAATTCTCCCATGCAGATCACTGTTGGTGATCCATGGTGCAACTAATCTACTGAATTTATAAACTGCATGCAAATAAGAACCGACCATTCAAATTCAGAAGGAAAAGTCATTTTACTCTGTGCCATGTAGCAGTTGGTAGCAACTTCTCTTCTCTTGGAAATTCACTGAAACATACAATTTGACCACAGTAGAATGTTTAGGGTAGCTAATTTTTACAGGAAATCCTATGTAGCAAAACTTCAATAGTAAAAGATTTAAAACTAGCTTTCTACAATATTTTTCATGTATTAGATTTTTATTCCACTCATCTCATTGATACTGTGATTCTTTGAAGGATTATGAACTCATTGAATACAGCTTTGGAAGCTGACTGTTAACTACTTGTTGTCATAGGTTAAAAATGATTTTCATCCTGAATGCAGTTTTCTTGGCAACATCCACATTATTGCAAAGTTCAGCAGCATAGAGAATACGGAAAAAAAACAATGTGAGAAATACTAATAACACCAAGCTAATGTTAAGCCATTTTAAATCTAATTTCTTACACCACAATCAATTTTAAGAGTAACTTTTCTACTAAAAGTAAATGGAATTTGGAAGCACTTACAGTAGTTAGGATTGCAACGTGTTAACATCCATTCATAAAAAAAGCATCGGTGTAAGTTTAAAATATTCAAAATATCATATTAGTACACTTTCTTTGATAAAGATCTCATTGTATTCTTAAATTGCTTTGTTTTAAAGTATCACTATTACTTCCAGGATAAAGTACAGCTTTTTCAAATTTTAAAGGTACCTAAATAAGTGTGGTTGCACATCTTTGTCTACATATCTAGTAATAAATTAATCAACAGAATTTAATTCCAAGCAAGCATGATAATTTAAGTTATGGTTAAATTCTCCTTTCACTGAATATTTCCTGTTGATTTTCAATATTTCTCTACCACAAAGGATTCAAACATCTTCTGTAACCAGTGACCTTTTTATTCAAAGCAGGCATTAAACTGAAAAAAAAAAAACTTTTTAATAAGTTACTGTCCAATAGAACTTAGGCTGCTTAATTCCTTGAAGAGTTATTTTATTATTGCTTGATAAAACAATCACTAAAATCA